ATCACGCTCACAGCAACCTCCAACTCCTGGGCTCAAGCGAGTCTCCTGCCTCAGCCTCCCAAGTAGCTGGGACCACAGGCGCCTGCCACAACGCCTGGCCATTTTTTGGTTTCAGCCCTCATTGTTGTTTGGCGGACCCGGGCTGGGGATTTGAACCCGCCACCTTAGGTGTATATGGCTGGCGCCTTAGCCGCTTGAGCCACAGGCGCCGAGCCATGGCTCATACTTATAACCTCAGCAGGGGAGATTAGGCAGGAGGATTGCTTGAGCTCAGGAGGTCCAGACCAGCCTGAGCAAAAGCGAGACCCTGTCTCTAAAAATAGCTGGGTACTGTGGTGGGCACCTGTATTCCAGCTACTTGAGAGGCTGAAGCCCAAGAGTTTGAGGTTGCTGTGAGCTGTGATGCTGCAGCACACCACTTAGAGTGACTAAGTGAGGCTCTATCTCAAAAAAAAAAAAAAAGAAGAAGAATGGATACCTTCCTATTTTCCAATGCATGAGTAAGCCCCATTCCTATCTGCCTCTTAAGAGCTTTTAAGACTTCCCAACTCTTCCATGTCCCCCCATTGCTTTACAATTTGAATCCTTTACCCTGGGTATACTGGTCTCTTATTACGTACCTCCCATGTCCATTCCCATCTCTAGCTGGATTTGCATGTAAGGACTTTAATTCCAGCTGGGAGATGAATTGGAAGCAGAGACACCCAAGGCAGAAAGACCACTGAAGTGGCCGTTGCTATCAGCTAAGAGGATATGTGGTCTGGCCTCTGGGGGATTGAGAAGGAGGGTTAGTTAGCAGAGATGTTTAGGAGGCAGGGGTCCAGGATCACTATTCCTAGCTTCAAGAGGGATGGATGGGTAAATAGTCCTTTGGGGGTTTCTCTTTATCCCAGGTGAACACCTACCGAGACAGTGCCTTCACATTCCTCAGCCAGAGCCTGGAGTATGCCAAGAACCCACGGGCCTCCCTCCGGAAGTCTTCGGTCATGTTCATAGGTAACCTGCCCAGCATAAGTAGTCCTGCCACCGGGGCTCTGCCTGCTCTCCAGTTGGCTCCCTCCCAGGCTGCCATCCCTTCTAGCATCTGGGTAGATGCCTCCCATTGGGTGGAAGACTTGGTCAGCAGATAGCCATGGTGCAACTGTAACGTTCTTACCTCCTCTAAGATCACAGCTTAGCCTGAAGTCTTTGTGTAGGGCATGACCTTGGCAACTGTACGCAGCAGAACTTCTGTCCCTGATCCCCCTTAGAGTACAGCCTGAGTCCAAGCCCAGCAGGAACCTGCCCAAATCCCCTGTTGATTGTGGCAGGAAGGACCATGCAGCATGGTGGAGTCGCACAGAGTCTCAACTCCATGATCCTCTTTGTGTGTGATCCCAACTCGGTCATTTATTCCCACTGAGCCTCAGTTTCCTCATCTGCAATTTAGGGGCCAACTTCTGTGTCACCAACTGGGTGGGAATATTTTTTGAAAGGTGAAGTCTGGCAGGCCGAGATGCTCAGTGAAGTCGCCTTCATTCTATTTCCCACAATTTCAGCCTCTGTCTTTCTGGAAAAAACCAAATAGCCAAGTCTTCACTGCCCAGAATCCGTCCACAGGACCCTTCTGACTGGGGGTGTCCCTCCTAACTACTCACCCCTACCCCAAATAACCACATATCCTTCACCAAGGCCTAGGAGACCTTGTTGTAAAGAGGCTTGGAGATGGCACCACTTGTTAAGGGGATGTTTCTTTCAGTAATGTTCCCAATTCATCTGCCATTTTTCATCTATCCAACAACCCATCTAGCCATCCCTTGGTTTGACCCCTTGCTCTGTGTTAGGCATGATACTTACAATAGAGAAACAAGAGCCCTCATGGAGGTGGTGCTGGTGGGGGAGGGAGGGGGGAATGGAGGCTGTGGCCATTGACACGATCAGTGTTAGGATCAAGGAGCATTGCCCTGGACTGGGGGCATCCCTCAGTGGGCGGATGCTCAGAGACAGCCTATGTCATAGAGTGACTTCTATTTCCTACATGCTGGTTTCTTTTTCTTTTCTTTTCTTTCTTTCTTTCTTTCTTTTTTTTTTGAAACAGAGTCTCACTGTGTCGCCCTTGGTAGAGTGCTGTGGTGTCATAGCTCACGGCATCCTCCAACTCTTGGGCTTAAACGATTCTCTTGCCTCAGCCTCCCAAGTAGCTGGGACTACAGACACCTGCCACAACACCCAGCTAAATGTTTTGGTGTTGTTGCAGTTGCCATTGTTGTTTAGCAGGCCCAGGCCGGGTTTGAACCCGCCAGCCTGGATGTATGTGGCTGTCGCCCTACCCACTGAGCTACAGGCACTGCCCTACATTCTGGTTTCTTTAAATTGTGCTCTAAATGAATCACCTCTGAAATCATTAGTGCTTAGCACCTGGGAATCTTCTCTGTGCCAGGGCCTGTGCTGGGGCACCAAGCTGAGCAGAGCCTGGACCTGCCTACACACAGCTCCCAGCACAGTGCTGTGACTTGTGAACTCTTCAGGGTTATGAAACTCCTGTGAGAATGCTGAAGACGGCTATGAACACTTTCCCTAGAAAAAAATTCATGTCACGAGTAATGTTAGTGTCTGCACAGGCCACCTCTCCCCCTCTCACCACCCAGTGGTCTGGCAGGAGATAAAGGTTCATAAATCACAAGTAAAATACAACACAATACATGCAGACAGAGAAAAACTGTCAGATACTCTGGGAACCCGGAGACCACCTAACCCACCCTGTGGGGAAGAGCAGCCACTTATTAAATTGACTATTCAAGGACAAATCGGAATTAGCCAGGAAGAAAGGAAGGGAAAGGCCTTCCCAGAGGTCCAGCCCATTCAAAGACCTGCAGGTACCGTGCCGGCCAGGCACCACCTGGGAGCAGGGATGGCCTGAGTAACATGGTTGAGGAGTCACAGGAACAGATCTCTGACCCAGCACTGCTGAGTCTCAGCCTCCCCAGGAGTCCCACTATGGCCGTGTCTGACGGGTGTGCAAGGTGCTCTGGTCTTGCACATTATTGCTGCTCAAACTTGTATCACAGATGAGAAAACTAAGGCCCAACCTGGGTAAGAAACTAGCCTAGGGTCACATGGTTAGAGTCAGCTGCAGCCTAGATCCTGCCCCCATCCTGGGGCCATCTCTGCCCACTGGACCAACCATCTCCCCCAGGGCCCTTCTGGGGGAATCTGCCCTGGGGTCCAGTTGAAGATCTTCCTTTGTGTCCTCATCTGTGGGGCTGGAGGATGGTGGGGAAAGCTTCTCTGGGAGGTCTGTTCTGAGGGCGGGATGTGGCAGGGGCGGACTCAGGAGAGGAATGCACAGAATATCTCCTGAATTATGCTCAAGGGTCCCTGGTCCCCTGCATGGAGAGCATAATGACAGAGGATCGTCTGAATGAGGTGAAAACTGGTAAGTCATGCCCGGGGGTAGGTGAGATTCCAGGGGGCATGAGGGAATGAGTGAGGATCACAGTGGGTAACGGGAAGGGGGGGATATGTCCAAAGAAAGGCTTTTTGGCTCAGTCCAGTTGTGCTCTGCTTTATCCAGGGTGAACAGCGTCAGGAGCCATAGGTTTCACGAGAGACAGAACACACTACTCCAACCTGGGGGAGCTTACAATCTCATTTAGAAAATGAGACCAAAATGGGGTGCAGGGCAGGCAGTTCAGACTCTTAAGGGGGCAGGTTCATTTTGTAACAGGGGAAGCTGAAGGAAGCACTAAGGTAGGCTGGAGTAGGCTGGAGGAGACCAGGAAGGCTTCCTGGACGAGGCAGGTCTTGATTCAGACTTTGGATGATGTGAACAATTTGGAGAGTCGGGAGGGTGATAGGAGGGTATGTTGAGCAGAGGGTGCCTACGCCAAGGTACAGAGGTAGGAAGGAGTGATGAGGTGTGAGAGCCATGTGGGGACCTGGTCTTAACAAGTGGCCTCTCCCTGCCCCATGACCCAGCTCTGGAAAACTTGAGACATGACCCAGAAGCATCAGTCTGCATCTACGCAGCCCAGGCCCAGGACCACATCCTGGCCAGCTGCTGGAGGAACTCCTGGCCACAGCCGCACGGGGACTTGTGGGTTTGTGACCCGTCTGCCACGCACCGCTGGAGCCCCAGCTGCGAGCACCTGCCCACTTCCCACCAGCGACGCTCCTGGATCATGCAGGCACTGGGCTCCTGGAAGATGTCCCTGAAGCAGTGATGTCCCTCCTCAGGGTGGCTGAGCCCCAGCCATGCTCGGGATAAATGCCATGTAGCTCAACTTTCCATCCTGAGCTTCTCCTCATGGGAGGTGCCTCGGGCTCCGGATCACCCGTCTCTCTGTGTGACAGTCTGAGAGGAGCATGCCTTCATTGTTAACTCAGCCAGCACTTACTTATGCATACGGGTTGTTTTGTCCACATTGAATAAATGGGGAAACTGAGGCTCAGAGAGGTGAAGTGGCTTGCCCAAGGCCTCACAGTAAGTCTGCTGGATGTTTCCGTCTCCTCTACCCACATTATAAGAACAAAAGGAGATGACAATTCGGGTGGCTCTTGGGGGGAGAAAAAGAGAGGGAAAGAAGAGACACCGTGCCCCCACCCCACAACATCACACACATACAGAACCCTGATCTCTGAGTCCCACCCTCATTGGCCACCACTGATTCTAGCGCCTAACCCAGACCAGGCCTGCTCTGGGTGCCAGGGACATATACGTGAGCGAGACCAGGCCAACTTCTCAGACCCCGAGAAGCTGATGGTTAGATATAGTGGTTCTCAATTAGAGGTGATTTTGACCCCCGGGGGATATTTAACAACATCTGGAGACATTTCTGGTTGTTACAACTTGGGGGGTAGTTTGCTATACTATAATGCTATCATCTGATGGGCAGAGGCCAGGGATGTGACGCGGCATCCTACACTGCACAGGACAGGCCCCACAACAAAGAATTCTTTATCTCGATTGTCAGAAGGCCCAAGGCTGAGGAAATTTGGTCTAATGGAAGTATCAGAAGCACATAAAGACCCCAACAACACAGCAGGTTAGCATGTGGGCTGTGGAGTCCAGAGGAAGTACACGGGCCGCCTGGGGTTTGGGGTGTCAAGAGAAGGCTTCTCAGAGGAGACCTTTCCAGAGGGTTTGGAAAGATGACCAGGTGGTGAGAGTGTACAGATGGGAGCAGGGGACAGGACCAAGGACCCACTGCAGATCTGTTGTGTAATGGAACCTAGAGAGGGGGACAGGAGGGCAGGGGCCAGCCCCCTAGCCTTTGAGGCTGTGCTAAGGAGGACGATGTCCTCTGGAGAGAAGCAAAAAGATACTGTGGGGTATGACGCAGGGCAGAAATGTGGTCAGATGTGTGCTTTAGAAAGCTGCCTCCTCAGGGGGATACAGGAACCCGCAGGCACTGCTGGGAGATGCTGGTGGGACGGTGTATTGGTAGAGCTATTCTTCTGGACTGGAATCAGTCATATAAAGTTTCTGCATACCCATGAGCCAGCAATTCCACTCATGGGTGTAATGCCCAGATAGAGTCTCCCTTTGTTCTCTCTCAAGCTGCGGGAAACCCTTACAAGACGGAGTCATCTTTTGTTCTCTCAATGGGCACACATTGTGGGGGAATCTTCCACAGGTCCATAAAGAGAGCTGGATGAGGAAATCTACTGCAGTTCTTTGCAGTGTTGGGGAGAGAAGGCAGTCTGGGTGTCCACCTGGGACAGAGAAAGGGGAGAGAATTTACTGTGGAGCCTCACACAGCAGTTAGAGATGGTGGGGGTATAGGCAGTACCATGTTTGGGACCTAAAACCCAGCACTGTGTGAAGAAAGTACAAAAAAACCCCAGAACAAACAAAAAATTATGCACAAAAGCATTCACATTTTGCAAGGACGTTTACAAACTGAGAAGACACATTAAAACATACCAGAATGATTGACTAGAGTGGGGAGGTAAGAAGGGCTCACTCTGCGGTGGAGGTGCACACACAGGGAGACCTGGCCAGAGTCTGAGGGAGTGGAGGCCAGGCCAGGCAGTGTGGGATGGATGGGCAGCTGGACCTGTGGGAGGGTGAGGAAGGGGAGTTTCAGAACCCAGTGGTCGACAGGTTGGAGGAGGGAAAAGTATATTTTGAAGATGGCCCCTGGGTTCCTGGGTGAGTGACTGAGCCAATGGATACCCCCATTGAGTAGTGATGAGACCAGGAGCAGGTTTGGGGTGCAGGGCATAAGTTCAATCTGGACATGGTAAGCTTGAGGGATTGTGCGACAAGCTAGTGGAGACAGCCCAGGTGGTTAGCTGCTGTGATGGTCTGAATGTTTGTATTCCCCCAAAGTCATTTGTTGAAACCCGTTAGTGAACGGGTTTTGAAACCCAAAAGTGATGGCATGGGGAGGTGGGGCCTTTGAGACGTGGCTAGTGATTATTGAATAGGATTAGTGTTTTTATTAGAGATACTCTGGGGAGCTCCCCCACCCCTTCTGCCATGTGAGGACAGCATGAAAAGACAGCATCTGTGAGCAGGAAGCAGGCCTACCGGACACAGAACCTGCCAGGCCTTGGCCTTGGACTTCCCAGCCATCACATTTCGGTCAGAAATAAATGTTTGTTGTTATGAACCACTAAGTCTAGGGTATTCAGTTGCAGCTGCCTGATGGACTAAGACAGCAGCAAGGGGATGGAACTCTGAGAGGGGGCTGAGAAGCAAACAGACTCGGGATTCATCTGTGCATGTGGGTTGCGGTGGGAATCCCCTGGGGCAGCATGTAGAGTGAGCAGAGACATGGCCTCAGGAGCCCCTACTTTAAGATCCTGTTGGGGGATGAAGAACTCACAAAGTTGACCATACAATCCAATAAGTGGTAAACTAAGGCGTTTGGGATTCTGGGCCTGAGGGAGAGCAGGACACAGGGAGGGTTCCATTTGGGCAACGCTTTCTATTGCCAAGAATACAAACACTGCCTGCTTGGAGTCTCACAGTAGCCCTACAGATTGTGGGCAAGGCAGACTAGCTTTATTGCCCGCATTCTATAGATAAGGAGACTCTATTCTATAGAGGGATGGGCCCTGCCCAAGGACACACAAGGGAACCCATGGGAATGTGGGTCCCAAGGGTCTCCCAACTCCCATGCTCCAGGCCTTTCCTCCCAGAGATGCTGCTGCTTTCATCCGCCAGAACCCCAGTCTAGGGTGGCCCTGACAAATGGCAACTGCTGTATTCTGGGTCTGGGACTGGGTCTAGGTGGACTTAGAGCACAGCAGAGGCCGCCCGGCTCAGTTATTGGCCATGGCCCCAGAGTGATCTTGAGTTGGAAGGTTCAAAGAGCACTAGCATGTCCCTTCTCTGGGCCTCTATTGCTACCTGTAAAATGGGTTGGTACCTCACAAGGAATCAAATAGAAAAATTAAAGCAAAAGGACTCCATAGGCTCTGCACTCAAGAAGGGAAAAGATGGCTCGGCGCCTGTGGCTCAAGCAGCTAAGGCGCCAGCCACATACACCTAAGGTGGCGGGTTCAAATCCCCAGCCTGGGCCCACCAAACAACAATGATGGCTGCAACCAAAAATGGCCAGGTGTTGTGGCGGGCGCCTGTGGTCCCAGCTACTTGGGA